TTTCAGGATTGATATTTACAGTATATAAAGTCTCACTGCAGTTTTCCTTTTCAAGACTAAAAAGGCTCAGTTCCTTTATTGTCTCAATATAACATGTCTTTGGGAAAATGAATTAGCCTAGATACTATTCCTTTTAAATTTTTCCAGAGCAATAGTATTTGTTTCTGGTGGGGTGGCCGATATTTCATGCAAAAATCTAAATTAGTTCTTGTGGGTTTTGATATAGTTTTGATATATGGAGTGGCTGCAATACCCTCTATATAACTATAGAAGGCATTATCATGAGGATGATGTGTAAATATGTTAATTTAATTACATTTTATTTGGATTTGACACAAAATGTATACAGCTGGGATTTTTAGTGAAGCAATCTAAGTAAAGTACCTTCCTCAACAGTACAACAGCAGTGTCCTCTCTGTACTTACTTTTAAAATATAATTTCAAGGGCAAAGTGTTAGGGGAAGGTAGAGCCCACCAAATTCAGATATGAATTATAATATAATGCAAATTTACAAGATGAAATCCAGGACAGACGTGATTTTAAGGTAACTTTATATAATGACAGTGATTATCTTATCTGAATTTGTAACATACAGGCGGTGGTAGTTTTACATTCCTGAGTGTTTCAAAAATGGCATCTCTACTCATTGAGAGCATGTAAATCAATAATCCTCAACAATAATTTATGTAATCTTACTTGACATGAGAACAGTATATAAAATGGTACCACGTGAGTCACTGAGTCATTGAAACATCTTGTTCTAAAACGATGTAGTGTATTTTCAAGGGTTTCCTTCACCAACATGACCACCCTCCTACTTCAATCGAGTGCCGTCGCAAGCCCCGGCCCCTGAAACGTGCTCTTTGGTTGGCCCTTGCAGAGGGGCGTGATACTAGTCGTCAGTTCCGAGAGAGCCTCGGGTTTGGGGGTAAAAATGGCGGCGGTGACAACGATGAGAGCCTCATTCAGGTTTATGAGAAACTTGGTAAGGTTGCATTCGACTTTAGCCATTTTTAATAGTGGGCAGGTTGCGTGTCTGTTTCTTTCTTAGGCAGACAAGCCGAGTCTCTATCAGCAGTTGCATACTGGTTAATAATGCTGGAGTAGCGCTCAGTCACCTAAGCTGGACAGAACCAATTGCAGCGGAGATATCTCAGCTGTGCTCCCTTATCTGCTTTTTCAGTATCAAAAAGCACAAATCTCATTAATGTTTCTTGAACACGTAAAGACATGTCTCGTAAGACTCGTTGAAAAAAAATTTTTCAACACTTACCAGATATCCAGTAAAGGAGGTTATATCATCCTTAAGTGTTTTCAAACAACTTTTTTCGACAAAAAAACTAAAACATTGACTGTCTCCTGTAATAAGGTTTTCTCCCGGTTTGCGTGTGCATGATAATACCGAACACGGAAATTACTTTGATTTTGGTACCCTTGACTAGTCCCGTGGTCCGATTTTAAAATTTGAATTGCTGTTGAGCTGTTATTGGACGTAAAATGCCAAAGGCCCAGTTATAATTCTGCAATTTCCCTCACGGGATCAATAAAGTATCTATCTATAAATGTCCTTGGCGGTCACGCTGGGCACTGCCCAGAAGTATGAAGAAGTATGACCAGTTCTTCAGCTGATAACTTACTGGTGCACCCACTGGTTTCAGACCACAATACAAATGTCTTAAATGTTTGCATGTATAATTCTAATGTTTGTTTTCCAGCGGTGTGCACACCAGTACAGATCTTGCTGTTCAAAATTTCAGTCTGTTAGACCAGAGTACAAATACAAGTTGCCTCACCTCTCGGTCGCTGTCAGCACGCAGCACCGGTACTTCAGAACCTGCAGTGGTAAGTACCGTTTAAATTTGCTGTTGTTTATATAGGCGTTAAATTTAGTCTTCTTGTACATTTTTTTTCATATTAATATGTGTTTTATTGAGAGATTTCATTCTCTTATCTTCCCCTTGTGCAGTTGTTTCTGGACCAATTGTACAGTTTAAGCTGTCAGATATAGGAGAAGGTATTACAGAGGTCACCGTCAAGGAATGGTAGGTGGATCTTTCTTTGTCTTGCAACTGTTTGCAGCAGCCTCTAAATAGCATTTTTTTCTTTCCTGATTTAAGCAGCAACAGTTATTCATGTAATTACCTGTATTAAGCAATTATCTGTTGGAAATCGTGTGTTTATTAATTTCACTTATCTTATACACAGCAATTTTTGAGCCCTTTTAACCTGAATGTTGTGGGTCTTGTGTTGGTGTGATGAGTGCTGCTGTTTTGGCTCCTCTGCTGTGGCACAGTTGTACACCATCTAATTTTTTTGGGGGTGACGTTACATCTGTGACTGTCTCAGAATTATTGAATGCTGCACTAATTAGATGCTTCTTAAATGAGCGTCGGAGAGTTTGTGAGGCATGTAAAATCAGCATTAGTTGAGTTGAATGGTTTGTGCCAGGCAGTGTTTTTAATATTTTAACATTGGCATCATCTAGATATTCAGGTGGGTAGCTACGTCAGCATGCGTAGGCTGCAAAGGAACAAGTTTGGCCATGTGACACCTGATGAAGGCTCCTCGGCCGAAACGTTGTGTTTTCTTTCTTCTTTTTTTCAGCATGGAATAAACCTATGACTTGTTCCTTATCATCTAGATATTAACAGTTGGCTTGTATGTGGGCATTCATGTTGATATTTCCACTCCCCTGGCTTGGTGTATACTAGTAAGAAAAGATAGATGCTTCAAGGGGCCTGCCTCAAAGATTAATCCTAGTTTATATCTCATCAACTCTTAGCAGTTAAGAAAGCCTAGGCCTGGTCAGCACTGGCATGGAAGTCGCTTCCGAGTTAATACTCCTTAAATTGCCCCTGAACTGGTTATATATAGTAGCCAATCACATTGCACTTAGGCAAAAGCCCAAATGAGCATGAGAGCATACAAACACCAAACAGATAGGTGCCCCTAAATGGGATTGAGCTCTGGCTCCTGGTGAGGTTGTAGGGTTAATTTCCAAACCAACAATTGTCCAAAACCACTGTACTCAAGGCCCTTCCTGAAGGTGTTTTTATGTGTGCAGAATCCATAGCAAGTGTACATTGTGAATCATGAGGGAGCTACCTCCTACCTGTATTTTGGGATCTGGCAAGGTTAAAAAACATTGTATAACTAAGTCACAGTGCTTAAAACATTAACAGTACAAGGACATCAAATGGAGCTTGCTTGCCTCTAAATCAGGAGCATAGTGATCCGGGGTCGGTGATTGTGGGTTATTCTAATATCTAGGGATGTTCTTTTAAATTAGTACACTTCACGACAAGAAAAGTAAAGAACCCCAAAACAGTTCTCACACACAAGAGGTATACCTTTGCACTGTTGTTTTTACTATTGTTCTGTTTCTGTTTTAGTATTGTTTAGTATTGTACAGAACTATTGTTCTGTTTCTATCTTAGTGGTGAAAGCCAGCCCCTAGGCCACACCATGTAACCCAGAGACAGCACATCAGTAGTTTAGGAGTGCTCCCTTACAGTAAAACGTCATCTCTTTTCTTATGTAAATTGGATATTGTTGCCATGCACTTGGTAGTTTTATTGTGGTTTGAAATGCCCTCATTATTGCCGGTTCATTATAACCCCAAAATGTAAAATTAGCGTTGCAGTTCCCCTTTAAGCCAATTGTGTCCAATTTTCACTCACAGAGGAGGCCTTGGCTGAAGCCTTGGCTTGCACTTTCATAATCTTATGAATATTGAGTTTGAAATGTTAGTAATGTTTTTATTCTGTTGAAATAAAGACTTTGCAAATCTTCATATATATGTATATAATATTCATAAGGGAGCATTCCCTTAAGAGCTAGAGATGTAGTTGACAGTGGAAGCATTATGAAGCCATAATATAAACAGTCACCAGATGGCGCTGTGATCAGTAATGTAAATATATTACTGACTGTCAATACACATTGACTCCCCAGGCCACCCTTTATTAAAATACATTCTGTTTTCTCTGAAATGTATGCTTCATTATTAGTATTTTCCAAGGCTATCACTGTTTTGGAATAATTTGAGGAGGCAATTATATGATTATTAATCCTTACACATATAGCACTTTTCTGGACACCCTTCTCAAAGAGATTAATGGGTAATGGTGACTCTCCTCCAACATCACCAATGTGTAGGTCCCACCTGGATGATAAAGTGCGCCAATTTGCTCACCACACATCAGGTGTCATTGTGGAGGAGAACAGAATAATGAAGGCAATTCATAGATGGGGATTATTAGTAGACCATGTTTGGTAAAGGCCAGGGGGAAATTTGGCCAGGGTGCCGGGGTTAACTGCCCTGCTCTTTTTGAGAAATGGCCTGGGATTTTTAGTTGCTAGTTATGAGTTGCAGGCTGATATAGCTGCTATATAAGACCATGCTCTCTGAATTTCTGTTATTCAGAGATGGACTTTTTTCATGTTAAAAGCAGAATGCATGTTTTTTTACTTAGTTATATATTCAAAATCAATTAAAATAATAACGTTGGACAACTGGCAGAAATGTACATATTTTCATTGAAGTGCTGGGTCAAAATAAAACATTTTACAGATCTCTAGCTTTGCAAGTCACAAACACAGACTATTATTTAAAACAGTTTATGTTCGTGAATGTAGAGCATGCATTTGAGAGCTGCACTGCTCATCAAAACCTATAAAATAACAGTGACTTATCAGAAAGTCTTGATTATATATATATCAATGTCATTGTTATATTATGTCATAAAGTCACCTGTTTTAAAATAACTGCTAGGGATATTTGAGGTCCAGAAAAGATGTAAATGGCACATTTGTGTCAACAGTGTTTTATGGGTTCATGGGTCATACTTAATGAAGGAACAATGGAGCAACTCCCATTTGTCTCCCTGCAGGTACGTCAAAGAGGGTGACACGGTATCTCAGTTCGACAGCATATGTGAAGTCCAGAGTGACAAGGCCTCTGTCACCATCACCAGTCGCTACGATGGCGTCATTCGGAAACTCTACTATGATGTGGACTCCATTGCCCATGTTGGCAAGCCACTGGTGGACATCGAAACACAGGATGTGAAGGGTAGGAGTGACCAAGCTGGTCTTGTTTTCTGAGGGGAGTAGTAATATTTGAACAGGTATTAATAACACCAGTTTACAATGTCGGCAGAGGTATCAAAGATTAAACAAGGTTAGAAAAGACAGAAGGAGAGTTGCACGGCTCAGAAGCAAGTGGTGGCCCTGTGGCTAAGGATCTGTGCTTGTGGCTGGAAGGTTGCCTGTTCAAATCCCACGGCCGGTAGAGGAATCCTACTCTGTTGGGCCCCTGAGCAAGGCCCTTAACCCCAGCTGCTCCAGGAGCACCGTATAAATAGCTGACCCTGCGCTCTGACCCCAGCCTTCTCTCCCTGTCTGTGTTTCTCATGGAGAGCAAGCTGTGGTATGTGAAAAGAAAAATGCCTAATGCAAGAATTTGTATAGAGCTAATTAAGTGATCTTATCTTATCTCTTATAAGTACTTGTATTCAACTCACTTCAGGTGAGTTAACACTCAGTTCCAAACATAAAATATGAAATCTGTTGTCTCTGCATCTCCTGGAAGCTTTATTGAATAGAGCAATAGAGTTTATTGAATGGTGATTTATTGAAAACAGTTGCTGAAGTTCTTCCACAGTCACTCCATCTGTAATTAATGTTAATTCGAGAGTCGGGCTTGGCTTTTTTGTTCAGATGTCTCCTGGCATTCTAAATCGAAACGAAATCTGGATCGGAATGAGACTTCAAATGTTGTATAAATTCCTCTGGGTGCCCCCTGTGGGTGTCTGTTATGGTTCAGTAAATGAAGGAAGGGGATGGAACAGGGGACAGTGTGTGGTGTGGAAGCCAAATACATCTTCAGGTTCTTGGGTTTCATTCCGGCCTCAGATGTCTGTCTGAGTGGGGTTTGCCTGAATGTGAAGTTTGTAACCCCTCAGCTACACCACTTTCACCTCTGCACTGCTCAGATCTGGAACCCTTACTGTCCAGTTTTATTTGGAGTCAGTGCAGCCAAGTGACAAAAAGAATGTCTAGTTTCTAGGCAAGTTGACGCACGCTCTCTCCCCCTTTCTCTATCTAAACCTTACCTGTTTATCTCCCCATCTCCCTCTCTGTCTCCCTGCCATTGCAGAAGGAGCTCTGGAGGAGGATGTAGTGGAGGCCCCAGCAGTGTCTCATGACGAACACACACACCAGGAAATCAAGGGCCAGAAGACCCAGGCCACCCCTGCAGTGCGGCGCCTTGCCATGGAAAACAATGTAGGCCAACAGCACGAGACACCACGGGGTTACGTGACATTACTGTGAGACCACTGATTTTTAGTTTTGTACCAAATAATTGCAGAATTATACAAGTTTGGATTTCTACAAAGACAAATATGTACATGGTTTACATGCAATATGGTGTGTTTGGGTAGTGATTTATCTGTTTTTAATACTGGGTTTATTCTAATTATGAAGTCAGGTGCCAAAAATGGACTACAGTTTAAAGTGGAGCTGTAGTGCTATTTTAATATTTCAGGAGTTAAAAAGAATCGGCATTAAGGTCTGCATTTCAAACCACAATGAAAGTAAAATGTACATAGTAACATGCAAAACTCCAATTTACTTGAAAAAATAAGCTACATTTCCAGGTATGTATAGCGCTTTATTCTGCGATTCAGAACGAGGCAAGAAACATTGTAAATAAGTAGGATTGTGAATATCTCTCTGTTAATCCAACAGTAATATTGCTCTTGACTTCAAGACAGTTTTTCCTACAAATACTGCTGGCTTGTTAACTCTGCGTGCAGATCACTTGGAACAGTTCTGCGGTGAAATGTCTGTTGCACAACTTGTACATTACATTACATTAGTCATTACAGTGACTAATGAGCAAGAAGGGCCAAAATTCATGTCAAAATTTGTACAAACTCTTGCCCTTGCCCGTGGCATGACCAGGGGTTTCCGACAATATGGTGACTATCCAGTACTCTCACAAAGTTCACGATTTTGTGCTTAATTCCGAATTTGAAAAATGTTGCGAAATTGTCCGTTAATTTATTTTGTTACTGAGATTTAATAACCAGTCTGAGAATCTGGAAGTGCATTTCCCCTTTAATCTTTGATTAAAAAATGTTGTGGTTAAGACATACAAGCATGAAGAGTTTCATGTGAAGAACAATCTTACCCTCTTGCCATGTGATTCAGTTTGCACAGTTTTGTTTTATCTGTGTATTCTCTCCTAAGGAGACCATTTCGATTGTCAGTTTGTGCAGCTTTAATATTCGTGGTCATGCAAGCATTTAGTAGACTTTAGTAGCTCTTTTTATTCTTGGTGAAGGATATGGTCTTCCTGCACTGAGAAGAAAATGAAGTGAGTGCTTGTTTTTCTCTTAACACTTGTTGAAATGGGTGGTTCTTGTTAGTGATCTGCTGGACCTCTTACTGTTAGCTTGGAGAAGTCTTGCAGAAGTACGGCCCACCAACCCTGCTGCTGGTGAATGGAGGGAATGTACAGCTCAGCTAAGGGCCAGTCTGTTTCTCTCTGAGAGGAGGGCGGCTGCAGTGTAGTTTTGAGGCAAAGGGTTATAAGACGCACAACTGTTAGTCAGCAACAGTGGGCGTAGCTGTGACAGATGACACTCCTCTGCAAGGCTAATTAAGCACAAGAGGGGCTCAATATTTAGCGTGCCAGCTCTGTTGCTATGGGTGCCCGGGGGTAGGGTGGCTTTTGAACTGCTCCCATCGAGCAGCAGGATCCCAAGTTCCTAGGAGGAGCCAGGCAATAAGCCCTGGAATGCTCTTCATGGAAGCAGTGTTTTTTTACCCTGGCTGGCTCCTCCCACCACAGGGAAATGTCACAAACAGCTTCTCATTGTGCAGGAGCCGCATGCTGAGCATTCCTGTGAGACTTCTTTACAGGTTGTCAAAAGAGACTTGATTATAATTAATGTAGTGTACAATGTGCTACAAAAGTATTGGCACAGCAAAATCAAACCTTTACCATCTTTGATTTGTATTTGTGATCATGAGATTAATATGAATAAAATGTAAAATATGTTTGGGTCTGTGCAGCGAAAAGGTCCCTGTGCAGATGTGTGTTTCAGTTATCTTTTCTTCATAGAGATGACTTGGGACCCTGCAGAAAGAGTAGATGAAATGTGAATAATTTTAAACTATTTGAAATGATTTCTGAGTGTTTATATTCTGTGTGTTAAAGTGTGATTTCTAAGCATGTAAGGCTCTGAGAAAGAAGAAGAGTTCATGAGTTTGAATCTGTGCAGTTTGTTGGTAAGAAAAGCTGAGTCTTCCTGCAGCCCAGTGGCAGTCTTAGGTGAAAGAGGGGTGGATGAGGACTTCGTCAGATTTTCAAATGTCCTGGTTTGTTTCTTCCTCAGATCAAGCTGAGTGAAGTGGTGGGTACAGGGAAGGATGGCCGCATCCTGAAAGAAGACATCCTTAACTACCTGTCCAAGCAGACTGGTGCTATCTTGCCTCTGTCCCCTTCCCCTGAAATCATTCCACCTCCACCCAAACCACAGGCTGCTCCCACCAGGCCCAAAGACACCACACCTAGTGTGCGCCAACAGGTGTCCCCAAAGCCTGTGTTCACAGGCAAGGATCGCACAGAGCCCCTCAAAGGTCAGTCCTATAGGCAGTCTCATTCCGCCTGAACAGAGGGGCTGCAGGCCGCACTAGGCCAGTTATTACATTCATCATCAGCTGTCTGGCCAATGCCTTCGCTGAAATGTGTTTCTGCTATTCTGAAGATCTTCAAACCACAGAAACATGCTGAATGCACACTTCCAGTCCCCAGTTGAGAATGTGGCTCAGCTGAAGGCTGTTCTTTTGTATGTAATGTAACTGTAAATGATTAAAGAGCCCTGTGCATGTCTGTCCCAAGTGTATACATTGTCTGTGTTGCAGGTTTTCATAAAGCAATGGTGAAAACCATGACTGCTGCCTTGAAGATCCCCCACTTTGGTTATTGCGATGAAGTGGACCTGAGCCAGCTGGTAAAGTTGCGGTTGGAGCTGAAGGCTGTGTCAGAGTCGCGTGGGGTGAAGCTCAGCTACATGCCCTTCTTTATCAAGGTAACGGAAATAGCTGGGACCCCCAGCAGGTTTACTCCGTCAGCCCATCTAACTTATTTGATAGTCAGTAGCTAATTAATCCAAGGACCTCATCCAACTGTTTCTTTACAGAAGGCAGGGTCTTGGCTTTAATAACATGGCTGGGGTAGCTTGTCTCTTACCCCAACAGCTCTTCATTTAAAGAAGTACCTCCTGTTCTCAGTTTAGGAGGGAAAGGAAATTTGATCCCAACAGATAAGATTCATTTCACTGTCTCAGTGCTTTTCATTGCATCTTGAGAAACGTAGATTGCAAAAGGTATATGTTTGATTTTTTTATTCAATTCTGATACACAGCTTCGTTTTAAAGAAGCCTCACTTTTAATTTATTAGCACATATTACATGTCAACAGATATCAGGAGCTCTATAGAATCCTTATTAATGTGATTATTGTTGTGTAACATTCATAGTAGTGTAATCAGTATTAATGTTTTTTTTTCTAGATTGTATACTTTTACTTACATGCAGTTTATACTTTTTGCCTGGAAATGAAACACAAGGCTTGGTTACCTGTACATTTACCTTTGCAGGAGAAACCAGTCAGTCACATCATAACTGTAAATTCCTCTCCTGAACATTAGAACATCCTGACTTTCCACTTAGTAGATGTAAGAATAGAAGGACACAATCTGGAATTTCTGATGTGTGCTTTTTAGTTGTGGACATATTATAAGAAGTATGTTCTAGTGTTTTCAATCATTTTTGCATTTAAAATAGTTTTAAAAAGGGTAAAGTTACAAATACATTTTCTTAAAGTGCCTTACTGCTTTACAGTAGCTTATAACAGCTACTGAAAATAGTTTTTTAATACTGTAAGTAGAACAAATATTTGGTGTGATTAGAGTAGTAGTAGAATAGTTTATTGTCATATGTACACATACACTGGAATTCTTAATCGTATTGATCTTTCGGGTCATACACAGTGTAACAGACAATACCACAAAATGTAGACAGCAGGAACGATAAATGTTATGGAACAATAAATATGTAGTAGTGACAAAACAAAACATGGTAAACCATGCAAAACGTGTGTAGTGCAGATGAGTATTGAGGCACTACAGATAGCTGTTGCGGATGCATACTGCAGTGGGATAGAAGCTGTTCTTGAGTTTAGTAGTCCTTGCTTTAATAGTGCGGTACTGCTTGCCAGAGTGCAGGGGGGAGAACAGTTTGTGGCCGGGATGGTTGGGATCCTGAATGATGGATTGGGCTTTATTGCGACAGCTGATGGTGTGGATCTCACGGATTGATGGTAAATCACATCCTATAACCCTCTGTGCCATTGCCATAACTGTCTGTAGTGCATCTTAAATGTGGATTCATGTGGAAAAAAGACAAACTCTGCATTAATTAACCTGTCTTTGTAAATAAATGTTACTATATTATGCTGACAGTAGATTTAAGATTTTTTCTTCAGGCTTAGCATGTGAAAATTTTGGCAGTACTTCTCAGAGATGTCTGATCAGATTCCCATTCAGACTTTGTCAGGCTGTACAAGACTTGAAAATAATCGGGCTCGTGAAATCACTTTAGGCCAGAAGCCCAGATTACAGTTTCCATGGTTTCCTGTGATTCACTGTCTTCTTTTCTATCAGGCAGCATCTCTGGGATTACTCCACTTCCCCATCCTCAATGCCTCAGTGGATGACAATTGTCAAAACATCACTTACAAGGTAAGTGTAGGGGTGTCAATCTCTTTGTCCAGGCTAAATTCCACTCGGGTCATACTCAGTATGGCCTGCCCAACATTTTCCCTTAACTGGCAGAGCAGTCTTTTCACTTCTCCACCTGGTCTGCTGTGTACTGGAGCTGCTGATTAAATCTGATTTGTGTACCTCTGTTCATTTTTAGTAATCACCTGTGTTGACTTTGTCAGTGCCTGAGAGGATTTTGGTAACTGTACTTGACTTATTTCCCCTCAAATTCTTCTCTGTTTTAAAAGTTCAGTTTGTTCAGCCCATCAGTAAAGGAAGTCCTCTTAAACCCCAAAAGCTATCTGGGTGTTTTTCTCTGAATTTATGTCAGAGCAGCAGTATCTTTTTTAAAACTACACCTTTAATTATAGATCTTTACTTTTTTAGTGCCTCCTCATATTATCTATTAGATGTAAGTGATGTGTCATCCTTAACACCTAAGTATTTTTCATAAGCATCCTCTTCTATCTTGGCATTTTACGTTTTGTATTTATATTTCATTTTTACTACCTACATGCATTACCCTGCATTTCGTCTAAATTAACATAATCTGCTAGGTGTTTACCCACATTTTACCCCTTTTTAATTGTATTTCCTGCTTCAGCGTTTACCAGTCCTCCTAATTAGGTATCATTGGCCAACTTGACTAGTATACTAACTTTAGGAGACTCTAGATCACTGAAATAAATGAGGAAGAACAGTGGTCCTAGTATATTCACTACATATAATGAATATTCACTGCAGGTGGAGGCAGCACTTCAGTAGTAGGTCCTTTTCTAAATTGCTCCACAAATGTGAAAAAAAATATTTATTATATATAGTAAGATAAAACTGCAACTGTGAGCTCAGGAGGAACTGGACTGAGCTGGAGTGGATGAGAAATACAGAATGTTTGACTGCTTTTTTTCTTGTTTGGGGGGGTTAGGCAGCTCACAACATTGGCCTGGCCATGGACACACAACAAGGCCTTATTGTGCCCAATGTGAAGAACGTGCAGGTTCTGAGCATCTATGATATCGCTGCTGAATTGAACCGCCTGCAGACGCTGGGGGCCACAGGCCAGCTGGGGGCTAGTGACCTGACCGGGGGAACCTTCACCCTCTCCAACATTGGATCAGTAAGTGTCCTGTGTGTTTGATCCGTTCAATGAAAGCAAAGATGTTTCATTAAAATGTGTAAAATAGGCAATCATGATACTTTTCACTTCCTCTATATCAGCATTGTTCTCTATTTATTCACTTAAGATATGATTGTACTCATTACAGCGTAGTTATGTTACATTAAGGCTGTGAGTAGTTATCACTATGTCCTTTGTCTTGTTTTCCAGATTGGAGGAACATATGCCAAGCCAGTCATCCTGCCCCCTGAGGTGGCGATTGGGGCTCTAGGAACGATACAGGTTTGTACACAGCTAACTCCTCAGTGAACAGTGAAATGCACACAGTACAGAGGAGAAAATGTCCAGTTCTCGTGGATGTAATGTAGCTTTTCTTCATTCCTGTAACCGATGTGAAACAGGTCACTTGTCTGATATGGAGCGCCTTTGTTCAAAAGATGTTTAATTGACTGCTGAAAATCACATAAACTGTGACAAGTGTAGTTTTTCAAGTTATATTGAATGCCTTTTTATACTAATGTTTTTCTTGTGATCTCCTCAGATCAAACCAAAGCATCCAAGTACCACCTACAAGTCACCTTCTTATAGGAACCCCAGAAAATCTCAATGACCAACATGAGTGGTGCAGACACACTCACACACACGTATAATAAATATAATAATCAACTTTATTTGATATAGCACCTTTAAAGTGGCTTCTCAAAGCGCTTTACAGAATGACAACAGGAAAAACAATTAAAAAGCACCATTTCAGTGAGAGCGGTGAGCCTGTTTAGTCAAGCAAAACAGATGTGAATTAATTGGTCGAGCCTTGATATAATTCACAAAATAGTCTAACAGATTTAAAATCAGGCATTTTCTTGATGTTAAAGGCCTTGCGGTGGATACTGCAATGCGTCCACTTCATATCTGGAGCAAACTCTCTAATTCCTGCAACTACACCGCTGTGTTGACTTGTCATCGCTCTAGCACCGTCTGTACAAACTATGACGCATTTTATCCATTCTGTGCCATTCTCTTCGATAAATTCATTCAGAAGCTGAAATATGTGCTCTCCTGTAGTTCTTGTTGGTAGTGGCTTACAGAACAGAAAGTCCTGATGGGACATACCCTCAAACTCGTATCTAACGTAAACAAGCAAATTGGCCAAATCAAAGGCATCTACAGACTCATCTAATTGCAGTGAAAAGCATCTGTTCATCTTAATGCGCTCTATCAGTGTACTTTTGACATCTGCTATATCAATAATTCTACGAGTGACTGTGTCGTTCAAAGGGGGCAGCAGGTTGAGCTATTTAGCAGCTTTTTCTCCACACATAATACGTGTATGCTCTTTTGTCAATGGTAAACAAAGTTCTTACAATCCGCAAACTTGCATTTTCCTGTTTCCGTTTCAGGAGTCCATCTCAGAAGTTAAAAGAAATCTTTATTTCATGCGCATGGGAGCGAAACACAGAGTGTATTTTTCTCAAATTAACCTAGTACAGTCCTTAAATATTTTTCTGTTATCCATCATGCTTTTATGTGTTCACAAGATTGCCAGTGTTCTAAAACCATGCACATTCTCCTACCTCCCTATTTGCTGGAGATAACTTTTTAAAATACAATTGCCTACTTATGTTCGTAGCACACATTCCTATACAGTGGTATAGAGTATCAAAGTAGCTATGGTGTCCACTCAAGTATTAGCGTGCGCTGTATCGTAGTATGTAGGCTGCGTATTTGACACATAAACTACTTTTATTAAAGTAGTAAATATGCAAACCTGTCCCAATTTTTCAGCACATACAACAATTTTCTGCGGTCATCTGATGTACCACCTGGGGGCACTCCATAGTACCATAGTTTGAGAACCGTAGGGCTAGAGTATGTATTCAGCAGTTTGCCAAATCCAGTTGTTTTAGTGCCATGTAGACTGAGCTTGTTGTGACTGGATAGAACCCATATGTAAGCAGAAGTTCTTGTTGTTCAACAAACAGTTAATTCTATAAATGCAAACATATTTTTAGCCATTCTGGCCTGTGATTGTATCCCCAAGTTTTGGAAAACCTTCTCTGGACCAGGAGAGACAGAGATCCCACAAGGCCAACACGACAGTAGATACACAAGAAGAATACAGTTCAATATATTTATAGTTGAAGTTTATACAGTACAAGTCAATATGGTGGCATCATAAATGTTCAGAGTCATGATAAGGAATGATTTGTACTAAAAGGAGCTACAAAGGTTAAGGATGAGCTACACCCAATATGAATGTGTTTAGTTCATCTGTGAACAGGAAGAGTGTTTGAAATCTTTGGATTGTGGTTTTGTCATTGTGGTGTGACCTGTTGTTGTCTTGTCTGTGCTTGTGTTCAGATCCTGCCCAGGTTCAGTGCCCAAGGGGAGGTGGTGAAAGCCCACATCATGAATGTGAGCTGGTCAGCTGATCATAGGATCATCGATGGAGCCACAATGTGCCGCTTCTCCAATCTCTGGAAGTCCTACTTGGAAAATCCAGCTTCTATGCTCATGGACCTGAAGTGAACCAGAACAGAGCCTCCTTTGTTCTGAATCCTCCTCTGTCAGTGTAGTGATGGTGTAACTGACATGGTTGCTACAGTACATATGCTACGTTAATTCCCCCGCTATTCTCTTGTAGTTATGGACCACAGAGCACAAGTACACTGAAAGGAACAGTAACCTCCTCATTTCATGGACTAAAGTGTAACAGCAGTCTGCTGCATGTTCATGTTTAGAAAGTGCACAGCCTAAAAGAATGAGGTGGTTATAAAACTGCTCCACTATGACAATTGTAAATTGACATTAGAAATACAGAGCTTCTACCTGATCTGTTTATTAGATCCTAATACCTTCAAAGGGCTGTTTTAAGTACAAGGCTGTTTTTTAAATGCTGATTTTCGTTCTGTCAGTGAAGTGTGCCATGGCAGAGTAATCCCTTTTAAAACTGGTTCATCCTATGTACTTCAACTCGGGTGTGCCAAGGCTGAAGACTGCCAGAATTTTTAGGTCTCTCTGTTTCATCACCTGCCATGTATCTGTGAAAAAGGTCAAATTGTTTCAAAGATACTATAGCTAAGAGCACAGATTGAACAAAAACCAGCTAGCCTTGTGGGCCTGAAGGAGTGAGTTTGGAGCTGACTGATTTTAAGGCTGTAGATTGTCAGGGCAATAGTATATCACTTCCTGTAACAGCTCTGCTTCTCTGTGGTTTTGTAATCACCTCTTCCCACTCTGAAGGTGCTTCTGGGTGTTACTGAACAGTGTTGTACTGTAGATAAATCTTGAATTCTCTGTGACTGTCCATGTCAGGATAGGTCAGTGTGTTTGAAGGAAAATCTGATCAACAGTGCATTTAGTATCTAGATTATTGGGTAATAAAGGGTGTTTTATGTTTTAAAAGGGAGCAAGGTTATGCTGCGTACAGAGACACTTACAGAGCTTCTAATATTTAAAGACTACAGTTCCATTTCTCCTAACAAAGCAATGTTTGCTGGTGTTAGCCTAAGAGAATGGTTTTAATAAACGGATGTTGTGTGGGTGATTGCCTGAGTTTTGTTTTTCATGCAGTTACTAAACAGTTGCCTGTTTCCCAGATTTAAAGTGTATAAAACCTTGGATATTGTCACACATATCTGAAGAAGTCTTCACAATAGGAATTTAATTAACTTTATGATTTTGAGCTAGAAATTAACTTGTTAAAATTGTTAAATTGTTCCTGAACGATTTGGTGGGTTTGTTTTAGGGGTGATTCACAGAATCGTTCAGTCTGCACTGCTCCTGCCCAGTCTAGACAAGTAGGGTGATGGTACAAAGACTAGTAGAAAGGAATGAGATTGCAGTAAGGCTGAGAATGAAAATTTATGGAGCGGTCACGCCTCCACAGGGACTGTGATGTATAAGTGAGGTTTGCAAAAGAAACTCGCTTGTGATCAAAAGATCTTCGGCACTGGAAGTATTTCACTCCAGAACAGGTTGTGCGACACATCATGTGAGTTTTAAGAAATTTAATTTAAACAAAAGTGAAAAATATTAAGATAACAACTGACAGTCTGCCACCGAGTACCAGCCAGAATGAGTTTGTAATTTATCGTTTTAAGCGGCTGCCGATTGGTCGACTGCGAGCGTAGAAGAGAGGGTTGTGACGTGAGAGGGTCGGAGCGCAGCGCAACAGGAGGGACTGAGAATCCGGTACATCGAGATGCAGGACAGCAAGAATTTCTGACACGTACGGTTTGGAGAAAGTACTATTTGTGGAGCTTGAGTTTGGTTAAAAAAAACGGTAAGTTACTTTATTACTGCAATATAATATTTTTATTTAATAAAATTTCCTTTTGTTAACTGGATTGCCAACAATACAGTTTACTTTAGATTTTGTCAATAGCTTCAGACAAAGGGTTGCTCTGTTACTAGTGAGAAAACTAGTGAGATTTCTTCCCAGTTAAAGCCATTTCGATTTTTTACACCATGGTAGCAGAAGCGTCACTGTCTATATATGACAGGGTAACATAACTGGTATCATAAAATGATACGCTTTAACTGGGGATCCGGAATGGTTCCAAATAGATTCGAAATGAAAATAAGACATTTTCTGTTTGTACAAAGGAATGTAGCCGATGTAACGAATATCCACATGACTGGCGTGTTTCAATTGATAATAATTGTCCGTAATTTTTAGTAGAGGTTGAATCATATTTTGAAATTAATAACGAGTTTGTGCTGCACAGGTGGTCTGGGAATGGAGCGAGTAGAAGAGATGGAGAAACTGCGGAAAACGGTCTCTTCACGGGGTCCTCTTTATCCGCCAGGAATTAAAGCGAGAGAAGTGCAACAGAGTAGCGCCAACTGTACGAGGAACGAGCTTTGCAAAAAACGGGAATCCTGGGCAGCAAAGAAGGGGTTCGACGGCCACAGCATGCGTACTTCGCCTTCAAAAACCCTCTCAGCCTGTAAGCCATCCAGGCCCAAGTGTCTGGGAACTACTGCCCTAGAAAACGTTTACCAGCCACAGGCTGAGAGGCGCTTCTCGGCCGTGGACGTCCGGGCGTTGATGCGCACGGTTCTGGAGGAGGGGCTGCGGGATGTGCAGTATGGTGGAGACAGGTGTTCAGCGCTCGCAGTCGAGCTCGCAGAGCAAGTGAAAAAAGCGGCAAAGGGATTGTATTGCGAGCGATATAAAATTATCTGTTTCGTGGTTTTAGGACCAGTCAAGCAAACAGAGGTCTCTTGTTGCAGCAGAAGTGTGTGGTGCCCAGCTGCTGACACCTACGTCGAATACTGCTTCAAGAACAGCTCCCTGTTCGCTCTCTGCCTGCTGTTCGCCGTTTATCTCGAGTGAAATGTCAGGATTGCTCAGGTCCATGTCGCATAGATTGTACTAATTTGAAAAATTCGTACGTACAAGAATCCGTTTTCACATTATGCATTTTCATAGTCAAACAGAAATACAAAAGAAGATTTGTTGTTGGGATATAAATAATCGCTATTGTCTTCCGAAAGGATCCCAAAGCGCTTCACATGCAGATGGGAACCCACTTCACTCACCACTGAAGTGCAACTAAGTGACACGCTGCGCGAGCAGATCGGACGGAGGGGAGAGAAATGACCTCTCCAGTTCAATTAAGGGGAAACATAACCAAAACTGTAAAAGAGTGTAATTTAGTCAATACAATACGGGTATTGTAGGATAGTAAGAGCTGTAAACACGTATGTTTTGCAACTGTAACCTTATCGCGGAAAGTGGATTATCGATATTTCATTATTATTTCAAGGAAAACAGAAATCTGTCATTGTAAACATTTTGGTGTTAAAATGTTAATACGGCTGATTCATATTGTAATAACTGTATCAAATTACCCAGATGGTCACTTGTTGCTTCCTGCGCCATATAGACAAGTGAACAGTTTGTGCGCAGTTTTGTCCTGTATCTCGCATATTTTCCTAATTAATGAAAAGCAAAGCACAATCATTTTAGTTTTTGGAATACAAAATTATACGTTCCAACAATAATGCTGAGCTCACGTATTGTTGCATAGGTCAGAAACTGCGAAACCTTTCATGTATCTCCAACAAGGCAGCAATAAGAGACCGCACAGATGGAGGATTAACACTCGCTTTTTTACTTGACTTTCCTACTGTAATATATTGTAGTACTATTGTTTATTGGGATTATGGCGTGTTCAATGATTAATAAATCCAACAGGAAATCCGGACTGGCTGTTCAAAACACACAAACCTGTCCGTCGAATGGAATGTTGCAACAGGCATTAAAACTGTTGAAATCATTTAGACTGCAAGACTGCTTATCAAGTCTCCTGTCGTTGGCCGTACTTAAATGTTCCTCATATGGCACCATTAATTCAGGTATACACTATACAGTATTATGGAAATATTTTAACTTAAGATGTTTATAATAATTCTGAATTTTAAATCCGGTCCCAGTGTTTAGGTGCGTGTCAAGTGATAACTGTCTGAAAGCCAGGCTTCAGTTCCCATGTGATCGCAGCTATTCCCAGTCTCTTCAAACTAAAATTAGACACGCTCTGCGGCTGCTCTCCTTGAACAGCAGTAGCGAGGACGACTGAAATCAAATTAGGAGCAGTGTGAATGCATTAAATCTTTCAACACTTCGCACTGGAAAAGTAGTGTCCGTGGGACCTGTGTTCTTGAAGACGAGCACGTTTTGGGCGCACCGGAATTTTTTCCTGAGGGCACGAAAAGTACACCAGTTGCATAGCGATTGATTGGCACCGGGAGGTGAGCGGTCAATAGGAGACAATGCGGATTCCGAATTTAGTTCTGCGAATATGTCAGTAATTTTACAGGCTTCCTGAAAATTCGCAAAAGTCCTCACAAGAATGCTATGAAATCCGGGTCTGAAATTTACAACACAGATTTATGTAGTATTAACACAAAACGTGAAGAGAGCAAATAGCAGACACGGCTGCTTTTAACAGTCTGCTACAATACAGTTTGACGCTCTTTTCTATATTTGTTTGGCTTTATTTCTTTCGTTGTACACACTAATACTCTGCATTTTTGGCTAAGCTCTCTTGTTTGTGTAAATGGGTGTTTGCCAAGCTCATGAATCATGTCAACAAAATCTGCTTGTGAGTGGGGTATTTCTTGAAGTTGACAACTTGAGAATACCATGGAGAAAAGAAGTAATAACCTAAATAAAATCTGCACAACACACATCTCCAGGGGGCAGCATGGTGGCACAGTAGTTAGCATTGCTGCCTTGCAGCACTGGGGTCCTAGATTCAATTCTGTGCTATCTATCTGGAGTTTGTATGTTCCCTCGTGTTTGTGTGAGTTTCCTTCCACACTCCAAAAACATACTGGTAGGTAGCTTCTAGGGAAATTGGCCCTGGTGTGAGTGTGCGCATGTTTGTATCTGTGAGCCCTGCAATAGAATGGCATCTCACATAGGGTGTATCACACCTTGTGCCCATTGCTAGCCAGGATAGGCTCCATCTCCCCCATGACCCTGTATTGGATAAAGTGGTTAGAAGATTGAATGAAAATGCACAGCAGCCTCTTCAGTAAGGCTGTCCTATCCTGCCCTGATACAGAGGTAGCCATGCGATAGAGCCCAGTGACCTCTGTGTGACTGCTGAGTGAAGAGCTATGACAGGCATAGCAGTGTGTGTTGGGACAGTGAGCTCCATCAAACACCTGTGGGAGACCAAGATCAAGAAGGCCAGAGATGACCTGCAAAGGCAGAAGGAGCTGAGGGACAGGGCTTCTGTTGGCAGGTAGGTGGGACACTATCCTTTGTTGCCTGGCTGACAGTAGTCTGTTCCATGTATCAAGCCTTTTTCCACGTCTTGCTCCCAAGAAAACTTAGATAAAGACAGTAATGACTCATTTCTCTCATCTAACCTGTTTGGTAGTTAGAAGTTAATTGTTCCCAGAATCTCACCCAGCCATTTCTTGAAGGAAGTCAGGGTATTAGTTTCATCAAAACGGCTGGGTAGCTTGTTTCTAACTCCACCACCTTTTGTGTTAAGATATGGCTCCTGTCACTTTTGGAGGATCTTATCCAACTGTTTCTTGAAAGAAGCCAAGGTATCAGCTTCAACAACACGGCCGGGTAGTTAGTTCTACACTCCAACAATTAAAGATAACAATTCTGCCCTTTACTTTGAAATATCTTGGTGGGCTGCGCTCTCCTCACTTGTGGCATTGTGCCACATTGCTGTGGTATTGCTGTAAACCACAGCTTTCTGTGCCTTCTCTACCTCAGACTTTAGCTGTACTGATAATTTGCAATTTTTAAAAACAACATAGTTTGAATTGTTTCAGCCCCCAAGTTGTATGATGTTTCACCATGCCTTAAAACATATTAAAAAATCGAACTTGCAGCTTTTTAGTAACTGAAAATAAGGTCTGGTTCAGATAGACCAAGGCCTCAGGGCTGTAGTGAACAAATCTCAGTTGGGAGAATGCTGCTGGTCCTGGGGCAGGTGCTGGGTGAGCCTCACTACACCTATTCTGAGTGGAAGCCCTTCTAGACTTTTCTGTGGCACTCTTCTGCTTGGTACTGGTGTTCCACTGCTGTTCTGGAACAGGGATGTGTGTGGACCAGAGGTGAGCCACAGCAGTGAGGCTAATGGAATGACGGAAAGTGATTCCAAACTATGGCATGATAGTTACAGCAGTAGTAGTAGTAGTAGCTGTTTGTCAGCACTTAATAAAAATGAATAGATTCTCCTGGCCGACCAGGAGGTGAGACTGTATTGCAGAGGTCTATCCTGGTCAAACCAATAACAGGTTTTTTTAACCGTGACCTCCCACCCCAGGCTGGCCCATGTCTGGGAGGATCGTATCACTCTGGCCAGACTGAAGCAGAAGGTGGTAACAGAGGAAGGAAGGATCATTCTGAGGATTGAGAAGGAGGAATGGAAGGTACAGACCTAATGTCATACATGGCCCTGTTCTGAAACAATATATGCAGCAGAAAACCTAGATCAAACCAGAATTATAACAAAATAGTTCAATTCTTTTTCTTCCTGTTGAAATTGTGATGTCTTCTCTGCTCCACTTGCCATGCTCAGTTTGGGCTGTCAGTGCCTCCTTTGTCTCTCAGACTCTTCCAACAGCGCTGCTGCAGCTGGCCAACCTACAAGAGTGGCAGCTCCACAGGACAGGCCTGCAGAGTATCCCCCGGTTCATAGGGAGCTTCATGAATCTCATTGTGCTGGACCTGTCTCGAAATGCCATCAGAGAAATCCCCAAGGAAATAGGTTTGTACATTCCACTGGCTATCTCCAGATCTCCCAATCTTACTTACTGGACAAAATACAACATCGTTGAGAACTGCAAGTGTGCTTGTTCAAATATTAAAACTGCAGCAGGCAGGAGAATCATTAGATAGCCAGTGTTATTTTGCATAATTGAAAGTAATGGGATTATAGAGGAACTCATAGTCAGCTAAGATGTAGGTATGAATTTTTCAATCAGATGTATTGGCTCCAGATACTTTAAAAAACATTAAAACATTTACCCTCTCCATATTTAATCTTGTCTCCTGCTAAATTTGCACAAGTATTTTTCCATTTAATGCGTGAAAACTTTGCAAGGTAATTATCCGAGCACCATAAGGTGTCAGGTGTTAAGGTGAGACTAAATAGGGATGGGTGACCCCTGCAGGCCAGCTGACCAGGCTGAGGGAGCTGCTACTGAGCTACAACAGAGTGAAGAGCATCCCGGAGGACCTGAGTGCCTGCGAGAGTCTGGAGAAGCTGGAGCTGGCCGTCAACCGTGACCTCTGTGAGCTTCCGATACAGGTAATGCCACTCACACACCGCAGAAATACTGAAGGTTCTCTTTAAAACTGTAGTTTTGTCACATTCAGAAGAAACCGTAGTGATCAACATGCATACAAAGTCTGTCAACATAACAAGATAACAATAGTTAAAACCAAGAGGGAGGATTTCAGACCATGTAGCCCATTTGGTAGTTGTTTATCCAATGATCGCATCCAGCCTTTCTTAAAAGGGTGTCATCTTCAACAATATGGCTGATTAGCTAATTCCACACTCCTACCACTTTTTGTGCAAAGACGTGCCTCTTGTTCCCAGCACTTACCTGTGCTTTCCACTTGTGTTCTCTGGTCATATTTCACTGTTCCACAGACAAATATTTATTAACACTATGGTAACACAACAAAACAAGATATTACAACAAATACAACATTACACTGTAAGCAAAACAAGCTTTCTCAGAGGCTTACGTTCTCCAGACCCAGAACTCCAGAATGCCCCGTAACTTGAAATCCTATACAACGCCTTGACAGGGCAACAAGAGAAGTACCCGGACCCTAAAGAAAAGAGTGAGACCCAACACTAAATTTCCCTTCTTACTACTGTACATGCCCAAAAGTGAATGGGAATCTATCTCCCTATTCTAATGATGTATTTCCAAACTAGGATAAAATGTTTTTAGCCTAAGGATTCCAAAATAAACGAAATCATGTTATATCTAAAATCAGAAGCAAGCTCTGTATAACGAGGTTCAAATTACTTTGCCAGAATCTTGTCTGCTATTGGCTGATCAGAACAAAGTCCTCTCAAAGGGCACACAACTTAGAGGAAGAAGACAGTGATGGTGTTCTTTCTTCTGTTTGCTTCCATTTTCTTCTTTTCCTCCTCCTTATTTGCTGTCTTTGTCTTTTCATGCTATATTCTGTCTGTCAAAGCCTCTAATTATTTACCATGAAGTTTAAATTAATCAGAGTAAACCACCTGAAACCCCCCAATTGATCATTTGTGTTCATTTGTATGACAATATCTGCATAACCTGATTGTAACAATACCATTGATGGTTCCTGTTTAAAGATTCAATTAGCTGATCTGCACTGGATTTTCAATAAAGACACTGGAGATTGTTTTCTTCCAGTTAAGCAGGCTGAAGAACCTTTCCCACCTGGATCTATCCATGAACCAGTACACTGCGATCCCTGACGCAGTGATCAGCATGCCTGCGCTGGAGTGGCTGGACATGGGGGG